AAAATTCTAGGGGTATAAAAGACAAAAAATAATAAATTTTTTAAAAGTTTTTTTAAGAATAGAAACATTACCTCAAAGTAACCAAACCATGTTTAGTTGGTTTTTGCTTTTACATTGTAGGTAATCATTTAATCCAGGATCATATTTCTCCTTGGCAGCTCCTTGAGAGAGGGGACTTTTTAAAAAAATTTTTGTCTTTATATCCCTAGCACCTAGCACAATGCCTTTGCACATAAGAGGTGCCTAATTAATGCTTGAAAAAATGAATCATTCTCAAAAGACATCCATTTAACTTCTTCACTTGGTACTTTCCTTTCCTCCCTCCCACCCTACACTCATACATATACACAAAAATATGTATGCATTTAAGACTTTTATCTAGACCATTCCACACTTTAGGTGGTATTATTATTTTCATCTAATGTAATATATCCCATTTCCCCTGCACATGATTGTAATGTAATAATATTTTATTATAAGAAACAATGGTTATAAAGGATTCAGTGAGAGGAAAACATTTATACGGAGTATCTCAAAAGTTTTAGTGTAGTTTGGGATTAACACCCCACACCCTACCCCCACCACCCATAAACTAATGCAGAGTGAAGTAAACAGACCCAATATACAATATTACAGTATTGCGTATACTATTACGATATAATACAGGAAAACAATATACATGACAACCATAGCATTGTGAATGGAAAGAACAGTAAAGCAATACTGAAAGTTGTATAATAATGACCAAGTTTAACCTTAGAGGAGAGATGACAAAAATAACTTCTCAACTTTTATGGAGAGGTGGGGGACTATAGGTGTGGAATGTTGCATATGCTGTCTGACATGTTCTTTGTGTTGGTGGGTTTTGCTTAACTGTTTTTTTTTCCCTTTAATCTTTGCTAAAAGAGAAGGCTCACAAAGGCAGAAAAGAGAGGTTTATTCAGAAATGCGTGTGACGTAAAAGCTAAGGGCATCAGTTTTTTTTTTTAATAAAGACTTGAAGCCTTTTAAAAAAAAAGTTCTGAGATAGAGTTGCTACTTTGCTATTGTTAGCAATACCTTTGAAACTGAGGGAGACCTAGGTTGCCTGATATAGTGCTGCTTGTAACAACATTGCCCTTTTGTGCTGCCTGGTTCTGTCTCTGGGTGGACAAATGGCGTTTGGAGGAATTGCATCTTACTCTGGGTATCTTTCTTCCCCTGTGTACATACATTTTCCAGAGTCATCGCCCTTGAACTTGTGAAACAATTTCTGCAAAAAGTACAGTGCGATTTAGTGCAAAATCTCTGTGACTGTGACGGACAGACTTTCTTGAAGACTCTCTCCAGAAAGCATCTTTTTTTAATCTCATAGGCTGTGTGGTAGTTAGTGCCCATGTTTCTGGAACAGGGTTGGGAAGTTGACTGCCCACCAAGCTACTTAACTTCCCTGTCCCTAGTCCTGAATTATACGTATATCATATCCATCTCTGGAATGTTCACCTCTTTAAGCTCCACCTAACTTGCTTGTCCTCTGAGTGGACTTCTTCTAAAATTCAAATTAGTTGTGATAGCCTTTTATTGAATCTAGGGGAGATAGAGGAAGTACTCTAGTCCAAAGTAAGTAAAATGATAGACTGTGTGAGCAGAATAATTGGCTGAATGACTCAAAAAAAAGGGGGAGTCAGAAATGCTGCACATATTTTCACCAACAAAGTAACATTTGGTGCAGGACTATGCCATTTGAAGGTACTTCAGATAACTCCTTTGGTTTCTATATAGGCTGTCCTGGAAATTGTGTAAAACTATTACATTGCATTATGTTATTATAACTAAGTTTTTTAAAGTATCATTATTTATAATAATCCCATTGCACTTGTATAATACTTTACAGCTGTCAAAAGGTTTTTTCATGTATTTTATCTCACTTAATTCTTAAACCAGCCATTTTGAGATAAGACTGGAAGCCATTATCTCCATTCTATAGATGAGGAAACTGAGGCTTAGCAAGATTATGTAATTTACTCAAGGACACAGCCAGGATTCCAACACCCTTCTTCTAATTCCTAATCTAGTACCTTTACCAGTATACCTCACCACATCTGCATTGTATATCCTACAGAGACCAGTGGAAGCATTGAATGTATTTTAGGGAGAATGATGGAAGAAACCAAGATTTTGGGTAGAGTAGAAATAAATAATATTATTAAGGAAATATAGTAAATCCAAAAAATGAGCTAGGATTTTCAGTTGAAACTGAACCTATTCACAGATTGTTGGTAAAAATGTGTGTGTGTGTGTGTGTATGTGTATATATTATGTATGTGTGTTTATGTATATATGTGTATCGTGTATACATGTATACACAATACGTGTGTGTGTGTGTGTGTGTGTATGTATACCTGTATTAAAGAATAATCAGTTTTCAGGACTGCCTCAGTCTTTTTGTAACACCTGGCTGTCTCTATATCTGTCACTGCACCACCTGCTTATTGCAAACTCCAAAGGCTTGTCCTTTACACATGTAATGGTTACGGCCTGGGTCAGGCACACTACACTTCAAAGCAAGCAAGCCTCTGCTGGCATTTATCACATTGTCTCACAGCTGAGCTATCCCTGCCCCCACCCTGTTCTAGGCTGTAAAAATTCCTGCCTTTTTACAGAAAGCCTCTACTTGCTTGAGAAACTTTTCCTGCTGCAATTTGGAGGCAGGGCTTGAGTTACTTACTGATGAGAGGAAAAACAGCTTTGACAGTAAAAGTTTATGATCTAGTCTGTTCCATCGATGTGTAGCTGCTTAAAGCCTCTCTCCTAATGTTCATTTCCCCGCTTTCTATTCTTTCTCTTCTTTCCTACTCTTCCCTCATAGTCCTGAGCACCTATTTATTCTGATTCTTTATTTTGTCGAATATTAGCAGAGAGGTTGATTCTGACCAGTATACTATATACTATATACTATGTAATATGGCAGCTTTTTAAAAGTAAGACCAAATCCACCAGCCCATGGTACAAATACCTCCCTGAGTTCAAATCCAGCCTCAGACACTTACTAGCTGTGTGACCCTGGGCAAATCACTTAACCTCAGTTTGCCTCAGTGTCCTTATCAGTAAAATGAAGATAAGAACAGCACCTACTTCCCAGGATTGTTGTGAGGATCCAATGAGATAATAATTGTAAAGTGCTTAAGCACAGTGCCTGGTATATAGTAAGTGCTATAGAAATGTTAGGTCCTGTTTCTTCTTCTCCTCCTCTTCTTCTTCTCCTCCTCCTCTTCCTCCTTCTCCTCCTTCTTCTTCTCCTTCTCCTTCTCTTCCTCCTCCTCCTCCTCCTCCTTCTGCTCCTCCTCCTCCTCCTCTTCTTCTTCTTCTTCTTCTTCTTCTTCTTCTTCTTCTTCTTCTCCTCCTTCTCTCCTCCTCTTCTTCTTCTTCTTCTTCTTCTTCTCCTCCTCATCCTCCTTCTCCTCCTTCTTCTTCTCCTTCTCCTTCTCTTCCTCCTCCTCCTTCTCCTTCTCCTCCTCCTCCTCCTCCTCCTCCTCCTCCTTCTTTCTTCTTCTTCTTCTTCTTCTTCTTCTCTTCTCTTCTTCTTCTCCTTCTCCTTCTCCTTCTTCTCCTTCTTCTTCTTCTCCTCCTTCTCCTCCTCCTCCTCCTCCTCCTCCTTCTTCTTCTTCTTCTTTCTTCTTCTCTTCTTCTTCTTCTTCTTCTTCTTCTTCTTCTTCTTCTTCTCTTCTTCTTCTTCTTCTTCTTCTTCTTCTTCTTCTTCTTCTTCTTCTCCTTCTCCTTCTTCTTCTTCTTCTCCTCCCTTTCCTTCTATTAATATTAGCCAGTAAGTCTGGTAAGAGTAGATGTTCTATTGATGGCTAGGGTATTCCGACTCATTATGAAAATCACTTACATGTTGTATATTTCCTGACCTATATTTTAATTGTTTTAAGGATGTAATTCATCGTGATGCAGTGGAGAGACCACTGAATTAGAAGTCAAGAGATGTAGGTATTAGTTGTGCTATGTCACTGATTAACATTGTGACCTTAACCAAGTCATTTAATCTGGGCCTCAGTTTCCTCATTTGTAAAATAAGGAGATTGAACTGAATTTTCTTTAACATCCCTTCAGCTCTGAAAATCAGTGAAGCTTTGTACTGTTGACTCATTCCGAATTCAAAGTAATACCTCTTTAATTTGTTAAGGAATCATTAGCTTTAGTTTTACCACTTGTTCCTTTCTCTCAGGTTTTTTGTCTCATTCATTAGAATAACCAGCCCCTCTCCAGTCTGTAGGCCTTATTATCTCCACTGTTTTCTGCACCTTCGTGTCTACGTTCTTGCCCTTAGCTATCTACATGCCAAGTCTTTTTTTTTTTAATCTCTGCTTCATAGTCTTGCCCCAGTAGATATATATATATATCAGTTTTGTCTTGGCTTCTCCCTCTCTAAGCATGTAACTTTTGTGACACTTTTTCCACCCTGATGATGTATGGTTATTATTTTGCTTTATTAGGATTTTACTTAAAATATTTACATACTTCTTAGTATTTTTGGTTCTGTTGTTTACATATCCCTTGTATTTTTCTACATCTTTGTAAGTAAGTTCTTTAAACATATGGATCATGTCTGTTTAACTTGAGTAATATAGTCACATCAGGTCCATAAGCATAAGTGGTTTTGAGATTCAAGTCTAGTTGTTGTCAGCAAGAAAATAATTTCAAGATATGTTCATACTGGTCTCAAAGTGAATTAGACTAGCTCAGCTTTTCTCATACTAATTCAGCCATAAAACACTTTGGGGCTTATGATGCCCTACCACAGAATTGCCTATGGTGCCTTCAAAGCCAAAATGCTGGGCTAGGTGGTCTGTGGGTTTGTCCTAGTCTGGCATTTTTTCTATTCTAGTCTTCTCCATTAGTTTACTTGCCTGCATTGGAGTTTATTTTTGAGATCTTTTGGCAGTGCCGGAGGCTAGTGTTTTCCTGAGGATTTTAGCTTGATATGACCTTTCAAGAAATATATTCTCTCTTTTTCTCAGGAATATGCAAACAGGTGGCTTTGCCTGGGAAGGGGAAGTAGAAAACTCTGCATTTAACAATGCTGCAGGAGTGATGCCACAGCACAAGTACCATCCCACCGCTGGCAGCTATCAGCTCCACTTTGCACTGCAACAGCTTGAACAACAAAAACTTCAGTCAAGGCAACTGCTGGACCAGAGCCGAGCCCGGCACCAGGTAATTAGAGAAATCACCAATCCCTGAAAGGAAGCCATTTTTCCATCAATGGGGAAAAGTCAAGGTCGTTAATTAACTTCAGGAATAACTTACCAGAAATTTCCTTTTAAGACTCAGAATAGAACAACAGAACACTAACTTTACCCCTACTTCATTGGGTCATCCTTTAAAAAAAAAATCTGTTGAGCCTGTTCCCCAGAAGAATTACTCAGAGCAGAAATTCCAGAATGATGGCTGAATGATCAAGGTTTTGCTGAGCTATCTTAATTCTTCTGACTCAGTCTAGTGTGTTATTCTAAATGTAGCCTACCTTGTCCCTTGAAGCCAGTCAACTTGACAAGACAGGAGGGCTATAAAGAGAGGAGGAATAACCAAATCACAGGATTTGGAGGGTTTAGGAAAGGAGCTTTTCTCCTTCCCCCTTGAAGAAACCTCTTCCTTCTGAAATCATTCCCATTCTTTGGATCAGCTTCCAACACCCTGTGTTTCTTAGAGAAATAAGAACACACCTCACTTACTAGCTGTGTGGCCCTGGGCAGGTCACTTAAAACCAGTTGCTTCCAAAAAAGGGGAGGGAGAGGGGAGAAGTAAGAATATACTTACATTTGCATGCAGAGAATTCAACAAGTCAAGGGAGTATAGTGGCTAGTACACCAGCATTTATTTAGTGCTAAGCATTGAGGTTGCTACAAAAGCCAAAAAAACAGCCCCTGACCCTAAGGAGCTCATATTCTAATGAGAGAGACAACATATAAATAACTAGGTCTATATAAGACATAGAGAAAAGATAGAAATTAATATGGGGGCGGGAGGTACCAGCAGATAGGGGAATGGGGAAGAGCCTCCTGCAGAAAGGGAGGTTTGAACTGAGTCTAGAAGGAGAGTTGGCTAGCCAAAAGGCAGAGGTAAGGGGGAAAGCCATGTTCACCACATACGGGGATGGCCATTTAATGCAAAAGCATGGAATCAGGGAACAGAGAGAGAGAAAGAGATCATGGAATGAGGTAGAGATCATGGACTAGGGTATAAGAAGACTAGAACAGGTAAGCAGGGGTCAGTAACATAAAGAGAGGCATCTTATATTTGACTTTGGAGGTAAATGGGGGCCACTGGAGTTTGTTGAGGAGGGAGAGGGAAGAAGAGAATGGTCAGATCTACTCTTTAGGAAAGTCATTTTGGAAGCTGAGTTTGGAATAAAGAGACACTTGGCAAGGAGACTAACTGGGAGGCGACTGCACCAGTTCAGGTAAGAGGTAATTAGGGCCTAAACTAGTGTGGCGGCTATGTGAGTGGAGGGAAGAGCACTTAGAGTTAGGGTGATCTGGATTTAAATCTTGCCTAAGATATTTACTAGCTGTGAGACCCTGGACAACTCACTTAACTTCAGAAATCTGAAATTGGACAGATGGGATGGAAACAGATCAGGTGTGGGATGTTCTTAGAAACTGGGGCTAGAGAGCAGTGCTATAATGTCTTAGTTCAAATTTCAGTTCTGTCATTTCCTATTTGTCAGTGAAGCAGTCAGGAAGCATTTATACGCTGTATCTCAGAAGACATGTGAAATCGCTCCATAGAAGGAATAAGACCCTATGGATATTTTAAACTGTTGTTTTTGAACCTGTGTAGAGTATAAAACTCGGAAATACTGAACCTGGCATCGGAAGAAGAGGGTTTGAGTTCTGGGTCGAACATTTATTGGCAGCGAGTTCCTTAGTTTCTCTAACTGTAAAATGGAGACAATAACGCCCATCCTGCCTACCTGATAGGGTTCTTGTGAGGATCAAGTGGCATCTAGCCCATGGACCAGACTATGTTAACCCTACCCATTGTGAGTAATGTTTGTGAGGAGTGTTTTCTGATGAGAGTACCCCGAGGTGATTGATCCCCCATCTCATTGTAAAATTGGAAGCCTCTAAAATCATCTGGCATGGGCTAGTGGAATCAGCACTGGCCCCCCCGATCAGAATAAGCCCTGACATGCACCACATTCCTGTCTATCTACCTCTGGGAGGTTGGCTTCTGGACCTCAGTTTCCTTATCCATAAAACGAGAAAGATGAGCAAAACAACCCCTTGTATCACTTCCAGCTCTCAATCTATAATCTTGTAATCTAATTATTCATTAATTACTTTGCTAATAGAAACCTAGATGAGACACTTCATAGAATCGGTGAGAAATAATTAAGTCAGACAGAAGAGGAAATACAACAAACATTAGAAACATTTTTAGCTTCTCTTTCCCAAAATAGTACAGTTCCCTCCCTTCCCTCCCTAGCACACTCCCCTATATTCAGGGTCTCACGTACAGCTGGGGAAGCAGTTTCTGATGGAGACAGGCAAGTTCTGTTGCACCATGCACCGGGAATTCGTCATGACTTTATCCTTGTTACAGACATAGTGAAAGTACTTTGTAAATTATCAAGTACTACCCAGTGTCAGGCATTATTTCCTCTCTCCTGAGAAAAGATGGTTTGTGGTGTTCTGTAGTAAGGATCATTTATCTGTCGAGCCATGGATTGTATAGTGAGTAGGGCCTATGCTTTCCATCAACCCTTAGTTTTAACACTTTAGATCAAGTTGTCACATTCTCTGATAGATTCTGTAAGCCATAGCCTTATTTTTTAAAGTATGAGTGGTCAGTGATATGTTGCATCAGTTTGAACATTTTTGGTCATTTATAACCAAAGGTAAAACACAATGAAATCAAAGCTCTTCCTTTGCATTCCCCTGCAAGAGACCCTCAGTCCTTTTTTCCTGCAAAAGGATATTAACTGGGAGCCTAATATAAAGTTACTATTTAGATATTGTATTATTTCGTAATAACTTGAATAGTACCATACACTGATGATGAGTAACATAATTTAGTAGTAGAATAATGGCAAGTTAGTAAATAGTAAAAATAATAAAACTAAAAACTTCAAAGTAAAAAGTAAAAATTTAGGAAGTAGTAAGAATAGTAATAATAATAGTAGTAGTAATTTAATAAATGGTTTTGTTAATGACTACATAGCCTTTCACATCTTGTATTTTGAGGAAGTTCTCTATACTTTTTTGACTACAATCATAGCACTTACAATATCCAAGGTGTTGTAAGGCTTTGTTTTATTCTGCCATTTCAGAATGCCCAAATGAGACAAATCGAATGGAAAGAGATCAGGTCTAGGATGTATTTGGAAATTGGGTCCGGAGGACAGTGTCAAATTGCCTTGGTTCTAGGGACAGCTAGGTGGCACAGTGGGTAGAGCACCAGCCCTGGATTCAGGAGGACCTGAGTCCAAATATGGCCTCAGACACATACTATTTACTAGCTGTGTGACCCTGGGCAAGTCACTTAACCCCATTGCCTAGCCAAAAAAAAAAATTTGCCTTGGTTCAAATCTCCATCCTATCACTTACTACTTGTGACTAGTCTAGTCAGTTTATCAGTCTGAACCTCAGTTTCATTATCTGTAAAATTAAGGAGTTATACTAAGTAGTTTCTAGAAGCAGCTGGTGACTCAGTGCATAGAGCACTGGGCCTGGAGTCAGGAAGACCTGAGTTCAAATACAGCCTCAGAAACTTCCCAGCTATGTGATCCTGGACAAGTCACTTAATCTCTGATAGCCTGACAAAAGGTGATCCCCTGGAGAAGGAAATGACAAACCATTCCAATATCTTTGCCAAGAAAATCCCATGGACAGCCATGGTGCACTGAGCCATGAAGAGTAGGGCACAACCGTACGACTGAACAACAACGCTAACTAGTGTTTGTGGTCCTTTCTCGCTCTAAATCTGTGCTTCTGTGATGATATGTGCATATGCAGAAGTTTATGACATGTGAACTCTATTTATCAACAACGTGAAATAGTACTCTCAAATTCTAATTTACATGGCATCTGGGAGAAGACTGATCCCATGACATGGGTTTGAAAGTACCTCAGAGCCATTTGACAGTGACAGTCCTAGGACAAAGACACGGAGAGAAGTATAATCTTAGCCAGTTGGTAGAGACCAAGAAGGAAGAAAATGAGATGCTGGAAAAGGGATACACTTTTCCTATTGCTTGTGAGAAAGTCAAATAGCATTTATTAAGCACCTACTTTGTGCCAGGCCTTGGGCACTGAGGATGCAGAGAAAGGCAAAAGATAGCCCCTGCTCTCAAGGCGCTCACAAATCAATGAAAACAGCTATATGTGATAGATAATATAATATGTAGCGTATTATGTGTAACATGTAACATAATGTAGAAATAATAGATACTAATAACGTGTATTACAGCATAGATATACGTATACATACCTATAGAGGTGTGTGTTTTCTTTCCTGAGTTTTTTACCTGTTCGTTTTCCATATACGTATGTGCGTGTTATATTCTCTCTTACTCTCTCTCTCTCTCTCTTTATATGGGTGTGTGTAAACATCCTTTCACACGATAAGTGGGAGATTATCAACAGAAGGAAGCCAATGGTACCAAGGGAGTCTAGGGAAAACTTCTTGTAGAAGGTTGGGATTTTTAGCTGGGACTCGATGGAAGCCAGGAAAACTGGAGTGAGGAGGGAAAGAACCCCCTCCCACCTCTTTATTGTCCTATGAATATCCTAGAACTGCATTGGTTTTCCAAGTCATCTCAAAGGGCATCAGTATTAAAAAAAAAAAAAGGTCTCTCTGCTGGGGGAGGCGTAGAATCTCCCCTACAAACTGTCTGGCAAAAGGTCTTTCCTAGGAACTTTTGTTGCATTGTTTTTTTCTCCCCTTTGGCCACTGCTTCTTCATAAATAGGTTATCTAAATGTTTTCTTGCTCTCCACCACTGTTGCTGTACTTTCACTAGTGCTGCTCAGCAAGCAGCCCCTTAATATCTGGGCCTAGGCGTCAAGATGGGAATTTCTTTCAGTGTACCCTGATTCTAGTAGATTAACCCCTTTTGGACCAAGATTATTTTTAAAAAATCTTAACATCTACATTTGCATTCTAATGACTATAAATGTATCTGCAGTGACTCTCTGAACATATATAACAATA